CAGCATCAGGGTCTTTTCCAAAGAGATCTCTCTTCGCATTAAGTGGCCAAAGTATCTGAGCTTGAGCTTCATTAATGGCAACCCACTCCAGTATCCTTGCCAAGAAAACCCCATGGACAATGTTAAAGACTTTGTGAGCAACCCTTTAATATGACAGTTACCCAAGTTTTGATTGATAGAAAATGCAAACAAGATGGTTTGGAGACTAGAATGCCAAAGTTAGAAATATGTAAAAGGAGAACATTGTTGGATTATATAACCTAGGAAAAGAAGCAGAAGAATGACTTATCAGTTTGCCAGTCCAGTAATTTCTTCATTGCTAACACAGTTTTCAAACAACCAAAATGGTGTCCTGATACCTGGTTATCACCAGATGGAATATTCAGAAATCAAATTGACTATATTATTGATACAAGGAGGTGGAAGAACTCACTTATAACAGCGAAGATGGGACCAGGGACTGACTGTAGATCAGATCATGCTCATGTGCAAATTCCAAGTCAAGCTAAAGTGGAAGAAGAAAGCCAACCAGCTTCCATGCTACGGTCTTGAGCACTGTTAAGGACAACATTAGGAATCATTTTGAAATCCTGAACCACATGGATAGTGATCCAGAGGAACCATGGGATGAAATCAAAGAAGATGTTAAAGATGAATGTAGAAAGAGACCACCAAAGACCAAAAATAGGAAAAACTAAACTGGATATAAAAGCAAATGGTAGAAATTGCCAAGAAGAAAAGAGAAGCCAAAGCCAAGAAAGATAAATATCTCAGGAAGGAACATAACAAAGAATTTCAGAGAGCTCTTACAGAAGCCAAGAAGCAGTATGACAAGATGGAAACAGACACAGAAAAACAAGGAAAGTCTTCCAAAATAAAAAATCTCCAAATTCAGAAGGAGGTTCCAGCTTCAAATCAGTATATGTAAGGATGCCAATGGACAGATAGTAGTAACTGGTTCAAACTAAGATGGAAAGAATATATTGAAATTCTGTGCAATAGAGATGTCATAATACACGTTTGGAGACAGATGCAACAAAGTGTCTTCTTTGGCATGTGGAATTTCAGGGATCACTGGACTCTCCACCAGAAGAATGCAAATAAGCACCAAAGTTAGCAAAGTTATGGGTTATATAACCCCAGAAATGTTACATAGGAATGACGAAGAAAGCAGCGTAAACCATAGTATGACTTTTGCAGCCAGAACATTCTGGCTGCAAAAGTCATACTATGATAATAATATGTGTTGACCTTAATATGTGTTGACCTTACTATGGCTATCCCAGCACCTCTACATTCTTTTCTATTAATGGGACTCTAACCCACCCTAATTAGATATACTAACCCGACATACCATAAACAATGATATTTCTTGTACCCATAAGCTGCCTTCCTTCACACAAATGAAAGACAACAGTCTGGTTTCTGTTATCTGTCTCCTCTCTCTTCAGGGTCATCAGGTGGCTTTGGTTTCCTTGGTGACCCTGGTATTTCATTGCCTTTCCTCGTGTTTATGCCATGTAGAAGGCATCATACATGACAACCCTTACAACACTCTGGTTTTTACCAGTTGGAAGGTCACAGGAACTGAGAGACTACCTATGGAAACATGGTAAGGAACAGAAGAATCAGTAAAATTTCTAACCAAACTATGCAGCAAATCTGGAGAACACTACAGATTGGAAGAGGTCAGTCTTCATACCAATACCAATGAAAGGAAATTTAACAAAGCATGCAAATTATCATACAATATCCTTAATTTCACATACTAGCAAAATAATGTTTTTTATCATTCAGTGCAGATTAGAGCCCTATATGGAAAGAGATGCCAGATGTTCAAGCTGGCTTTAGAAGTGGCTGAGGAGCAAGAAACATTATTGCTAATGTATGCTGGATAATTAAGAAAGTGAAGGAGTATAGAAAAAATCAATACGTACTTCATTTGATTGTGTTGATATGTCAAGTTGGGAATATCCTTAGGAAAATGGGAATCACAGAACTTCTCATTGTCCTTATGTGAAACCTGTACATATTACAAGAAGTCACCATCTAAACAGAATATGTTGAAATTGACTGGCTGTAGGTTGGCAAAGATGTCAGAAAAGGCAATGAATTCTCCCCTTATATTCAATTTATATGTTGAATATATATTGAGGGAAACTGGATTGGAAGAACATTAATGTGGTTTTAAAATTGGAGGAACAAATATCAGTAAACTGTGCTATGCTGATGACTCTGATAGCTGAAAATGCAAATGATTTGGAAACTCAATGAAAGTCAAGGAGCAAAGTGAGAAAAATGGGATTAAGATACAAAAGACCAAATTAATGACAACAGGTACAGCAACCCAGTCTTAGAAGATATTGAAGTGGTGAATAACTTCTGTCTCAACTATCAACAGTAAAGAAACAAGCAGTCAAG